GTAGTGTATAGTGTAGTGTGTAGTGTATAGTGTAGTGTATAGTAGTGTATAGTGTACTGTATAGTGTAGTGTATAGTGTAGTGTATAGTGTAGTAGTGTATAGTCTAGTGTATAGTCTAGTGTATAGTGTAGTGTATAGTGTAGTGTATAGTGTAGTGTATAGTAGTGTATAGTGTAGTGTATAGTAGTGTAGTGTATAGTAGTGTAGTGTATAGTGTAGTGTATAGTGTAGTAGTGTATAGTGTAGTGTATAGTGTAGTAGTGTATAGTGTAGTGTAGTGTATAGTGTAGTATATAGTATAGTGTATAGTAGTGTATAGTGTAGTGTATAGTGTAGTATATAGTGGAGTGTATAGTGTAGTGTATACTAGTGTAGTGTATAGTGTAGTAGTGTATAGTGTAGTAGTGTGTAGTGTATAGTGTAGTGTATAGTGTAGTGTATAGTGTAGTGTAGTGTATAGTGTAGTGTATAGTGTAGTGTATAGTGTAGTGTAGTGTATAGTGTAGTGTATAGTGTAGTGTATAGTAGTGTAGTGTATAGTGTAGTGTATAGTGTAGTAGTGTATAGTGTAGTGTATAGTGTAGTGTATAGTGTAGTGTATAGTGTAGTGTATAGTGTAGTAGTGTAGTGTTTAGTGTAGTGTATAGTGTAGTAGTGTATAGTGTAGTGTATAGTAGTGTAGTGTATAGTAGTGTAGTGTATAGTGTAGTGTATAGTAGTGTAGTGTATAGTGTAGTGTGTAGTGTATAGCGTAGTGTATAGTAGTGTAGTATAGTGTACAGTAGTGTAGTGTATAGTAGTGTAGTGTATAGTGTAGTGTATAGTAGTGTAGTATATAGTGTAGTGTATAGTAGTGTAGTGTATAGTAGTGTAGTGTATGGTAGTGTAGTGTATAGTGTAGTGTATAGTAGTGTAGTGTATAGTAGTGTAGTGTATTGTAGTGTAGTGTATAGTGTAGTGTATAGTAGTGTAGTGTATAGTAGTGTAGTGTATAGTAGTGTAGTGTATAGTGTATAGTAGTGTAGTGTATAGTGTAGTGTATAGTAGTGTAGTGTATAGTAGTGTGTAGTGTATAGTGTAGTGTATAGTAGTGTAGTGTATAGTAGTGTAGTGTATAGTAGTGTAGTGTATAGTAGTGTAGTGTATAGTGTATAGTAGTGTATAGTGTAGTGTATAGTAGTGTAGTGTATAGTGTAGTGTATAGTAGTGTAGTGTATAGTAGTGTAGTGTAAAGTGTAGTGTATAGTGTAGTGTATAGTGTATAGTAGTGTAGTGTATAGTAGTAGTGTATAGTGTAGTAGTGTATAGTGTAGTGTATAGTAGTGTAGTGTATAGTGTAGTGTATAGTAGTGTAGTATAGTGTATAGTAGTGTAGTGTATAGTTTAGTGTATAGTAGTGTAGTGTATAGTAGTGTAGTGTGTAGTAGTGTGTAGTGTAGTGTATAGTAGTGTAGTGTATAGTGTAGTGTATAGTAGTGTAGTGTATAGTAATGTAGTGTAAAGTGTAGTGTATAGTGTAGTGTATAGTAGTGTAGTGTATAGTAGTAGTGTATAGTGTATAGTAGTGTAGTGTATAGTGTAGTGTAAAGTTTGCGGGGCTAGTTAAACCCCGGGGGGGGGGGGGGGGGGGGGGGGGGGAGGCCGGCGGTTTCGCCGTTGGCAGCAGTCGGCGACACCGATACTCGCTACGTGAGTGCGTGTGAAGTCACCGTGTGAATCGGTACCCCCGAGTGTCCGCGGGGAGCGGTGGGTGTAGTGGTTAGCGCCACGCCGGGCCACAAACCCCCGGCACCTGGGTTCGATTCCCGCCCGCGGCCGCCACCGCCAGAGCCGGTCCTGGGCCGCCTCCCCCTAGGTCGACTCAGCCTCAACCGAGTGCCTGGTGCCTTGGCGTAGCGAGCGTCGCCACTGGGGGAGACAAAGGCGGCCGTGGTGCTGGCCGGCCACCAACCCACCCACCCCCTCGTGATGAAGGCTACGTGAGGGCCCCTTTGATTTGTGGGCATAAAGGGCGGGGCAGTGAGAGAACTCGGGGCGGCGGGCGGAGTGTTGGGGCCAAGAACGGAGTGACCAGGGAAAAGGGAAGACCAGCTAAAGTAGAACCCTGGGACTCAGCATCGGCAGGGCAAGCCAGCGGTAAGGCCCCCCCACTAGCCACAGAGCCGACGTCCTTCGGAGGGCCCGGTATGGTTGGCAGGGTGCACGTGATCTGCGCTTAACCGGGGCCGGATCTGACAGCCTCCACCTAGAGCCCCTTTAGCCGGAGGACCCGGGGAACAACGTATGGTTAGGGCTAGATAGCCTAGGTAGGGGATATCCCTAAGCGTATTCGGGTGAAGGGGCCGCTACCCCCTTCCTGTGTGACCCCCTTGTTATGAATAAATAAGTGCTGCCTCTACTCTACCCGTAAAGTCACCACCACGTAGAAGGGGGGAAACAATAAAATAATAAAAAAAAATATATACATGTATAAAACAATAAAATTATCAAGACGTTTCGACTTGTAACACAAGCAGCCATCATCAGGCGTGAAAAAAAACCCACGGCAAGAACCTTCCTGATGACTCTGTTTGTGTTAACAGTCGAAACGTCGTGAGAATTTTATTGTTTTATATTTTTATTTTTTTATTATTTTATTGTTTCTCGTTTGTCGGTGGTTGCGGTTGCACACGACTCAAGAGGGTTATACCAAAATAAATTTTAACTGAAAATGAAACCCCGTGAAGGAGCGAGTCCCCGTGAAGGTCCCCGTGAAGGTCCCCGTGAAGGTCCCCGTGAAGGAGCGAGTTCCCGTGAAGGAGCGAGTCCCCGTGAAGGACCCCGTGAAGGTCCCCGTGAAGGACCCCGTGAAGGAGCGAGTCCCCGTGAAGGACCCCGTGAAGGAGCGAGTTCCCGTGAAGGAGCGAGTCCCCGTGAAGGACCCCGTGAAGGTCCCCGTGAAGGAGCGAGTTCCCGTGAAGGAGCGAGTCCCCGTGAAGGACCCCGTGAAGGAGCGAGTTCCCGTGAAGGACCCCGTGAAGGTCCCCGTGAAGGTCCCCGTGAAGGTCCCCGTGAAGGAGCGAGTCCCCGTGTAGGAGCGAGTCCCCGTGAAGGTCCCCGTGAAGGAGCGAGTCCCCGTGAAGGTCCCCGTGAAGGTCCCCGTGAAGGACCCCGTGAAGGTCCCCGTGAAGGTCCCCGTGAAGGACCCCGTGAAGGACCCCGTGAAGGAGCGAGTCCCCGTGAAGGACCCCGTGAAGGTCCCCGTGAAGGAGCGAGTTCCCGTGAAGGACCCCGTGAAGGTCCCCGTGAAGGTCCCCGTGAAGGACCCCGTGAAGGTTCCCGTGAAAGTCCCCGTGAAGGACCCCGTGAAGGTCCCCGTGAAGGTCCCCGTGAAGGACCCCGTGAAGGAGCGAGTCCCCGTGAAGGACCCCGTGAAGGTCCCCGTGAAGGAGCGAGTTCCCGTGAAGGACCCCGTGAAGGACCCCGTGAAGGTCCCCGTGAAGGAGCGAGTCCCCGTGAAGGTCCCCGTGAAGGTCCCCGTGAAGGACCCCGTGAAGGTCCCCGTGAAGGTCCCCGTGAAGGACCCCGTGAAGGACCCCGTGAAGGAGCGAGTCCCCGTGAAGGACCCCGTGAAGGTCCCCGTGAAGGAGCGAGTTCCCGTGAAGGACCCCGTGAAGGACCCCGTGAAGGTCCCCGTGAAGGAGCGAGTCCCCGTGAAGGACCCCGTGAAGGTCCCCGTGAAGGAGCGAGTTCCCGTGAAGGACCCCGTGAAGGACCCCGTGAAGGTCCCCGTGAAGGAGCGAGTCCCCGTGAAGGACCCCGTGAAGGTCCCCGTGAAGGACCCCGTGAAGGTCCCCGTGAAGGAGCGAGTCCCCGTGAAGGTCCCCGTGAAGGAGCGAGTCCCCGTGAAGGTCCCCGTGAAGGTCCCCATGAAGGAGCGAGTCCCCGTGAAGGTCCCCGTGAAGGACCCCGTGAAGGGTCGAGTCCCCGTGAAGGTCCCCGTGAAGGAGCGAGTCCCCGTGAAGGTCCCCGTGAAGGACCCCGTGAAGGGTCGAGTCCCCGTGAAGGTCCCCGTGAAGGAGCGAGTCCCCGTGAAGGTCCCCGTGAAGGTCCCCATGAAGGAGCGAGTCCCCGTGAAGGTCCCCGTGAAGGACCCCGTGAAGGGTCGAGTCCCCGTGAAGGTCCCCGTGAAGGAGCGAGTCCCCGTGAAGGTCCCCGTGAAGGTCCCCGTGAAGGTCCCCGTGAAGGTCCCCATGAAGGTCCCCGTGAGTATCTGTGACCACGTGAAGGTCCCCGTGAGTATCTGTGACCACGTGAAGGTCCCCGTGAAGGTCCCCGTGAAGGACCCCGTGAAGGAGCGAGTCCCCGTGAAGGTCCCCGTGAAGGTCCCCGTGAGTATCTGTGAGTATCTGTGAGCACGTGAAGGTCCCCGTGAGTATCTGTGAGTATCTGTGAGCACGTGAAGGTCCCCGTGAGTCGAGCTCCAAGAGCAGACAACTTTATTCCAGCCGACAGTCTCAACTCCACCCACACGTGCCACCCACACGTGCCACCCACACACGTGCCACCCACACACGTGCCACCCACACACGTGCCACCCACACACGTGCCACCCACACACGTGGCACCCACACACATGCCACGCACACATGTGGATGGCACGTGCCACGCACACGTGCCGATGATAATGCTGATGATGACGCTGCTGCTGATGGTGAGGATGACGCTGCTGCTGATGAATGACGCTGATGATGATGACGCCGCTACTGCTGATGACGCTGCTGCTGCTGATGGTGATGATGACGCTACTGATGATGACGCTGCTGCTGATGACGCTGCTGCTGATGACGCTGCTGCTGCTGCTGATGACGCTGCTGCTGCTGCTGATGACGCTGCTCCTGATGATGATGACGCTACTGCTGATGACGCTGCTGCTGTTGATGATGATGATGACGCTACTGCTGATGATGACGCTGCACCTGATGATGATGCCGCTGCTGCTGATGATGCTACTGCTGATGACGCTGCTGCTGTTGATGATGATGATGACGCTACTGCTGATGATGCTACTGCCGATGATGCTGCTGCTGGTGGTAGTGATGATGATGGTGGTGGTGGTGATGGTGGTGGTGGTGATGGTGATGCCGCTGAAGATGCGTACTATTCCGCTGATGCTGCCAATGATGATGACGCTTATTATTTCTGATGCTGCTGCTGATAGCTACCGCTGATAGCTACCGCTGATAGCTACCGCTGACAGCTACCGCTGACAGCTACCGCTGACAGCTACCGCTGACAGCTACCGCTGATAGCTACAGCTGACAGCTACCGCTGACAGCTACCGCTGACAGCTACCGCTGACAGCTACCGCTGATACCTACCGCTGACAGCTACCGCTGACAGCTACCGCTGACAGCTACCGCTGACAGCTACAGCTGACAGCTACCGCTGACAGCTACCGCTGACAGCTACCGCTGACAGCTACCGCTGACAGCTACCGCTGACAGCTACAGCTGATAGCTACCGCTGACAGCTACAGCTGACAGCTACCGCTGACAGCTACAGCTGACAGCTACCGCTGACAGCTACCGCTGACAGCTACCGCTGACAGCTACCGCTGACAGCTACCGCTGACAGCTACCGCTGACAGCTACCGCTGATAGCTACCGCTGACAGCTACCGCTGATAGCTACCGCTGACAGCTACCGCTGACAGCTACAGCTGATAGCTACCGCTGACAGCTACCGCTGACAGCTACAGCTGATAGCTACCGCTGATAGCTACAGCTGACAGCTACCGCTGATAGCTACTGCTGATAGCTACCGCTGATAGCTACCGCTGATAGCTACCGCTGATAGCTACCGCTGATAGCTACAGCTGATAGCTACCGCTGACAGCTACCGCTGACAGCTACAGCTGATAGCTACAGCTGATAGCTACAGCTGACAGCTACCGCTGATAGCTACAGCTGACAGCTACCGCTGACAGCTACCGCTGACAGCTACCGCTGACAGCTACCGCTGATAGCTACAGCTGATAGCTACTGCTGATAGCTACCGCTGACAGCTACCGCTGATAGCAACAGCTGACAGCTACCGCTGATAGCTACCGCTGATAGCTACAGCTGACAGCTACCGCTGATAGCTACCGCTGACAGCTACCGCTGATAGCAACAGCTGATAGCTACTGCTGATAGCTACCGCTGACAGCTACCGCTGATAGCAACAGCTGACAGCTACCGCTGATAGCTACAGCTGATAGCTACCGCTGACAGCTACAGCTGATAGCTACAGCTGACAGCTACCGCTGATAGCTACCGCTGACAGCTACCGCTGATAGCTACAGCTGATAGCTACTGCTGATAGCTACCGCTGACAGCTACCGCTGACAGCTACAGCTGACAGCTACCGCTGACAGCTACACCTGATAGCTACCGCTGACAGCTACCGCTGCCAGCTACCGCTGATAGCTACCGCTGACAGCTACAGCTGCCAGCTACCGCTGATAGCTACAGCTGATAGCTACAGCTGATAGCTACCGCTGATAGCTACCGCTGACAGCTACAGCTGACAGCTACCGCTGACAGCTACCGCTGACAGCTACCGCTGATAGCTACAGCTGATAGCTACCGCTGATAGCTACCGCTGATAGCTACCGCTGACAGCTACCGCTGACAGCTACCGCTGATAGCTACAGCTGATAGCTACCGCTGACAGCTACCGCTGACAGCTACCGCTGATACCTACCGCTGACAGCTACCGCTGATAGCTACAGCTGATCGATGAACTCGAACGCACGGGGGGGGGGGGGGCACAGCGGCTGGGGGTGATGAGCAATGAGCGTGGTGGGGGGCCGCTAAGCAAGACCCGCATCGCACAATGCTACGCTTTAAATACCGTGGGCGAACCCGGGGCCTTTTGTGGAATTCTGCGGGGGTTCGAGGCGACGGGGGAGGGGGGCTGGGGGGGCTGGGGGGGCTGGGGGGGCTGTCCACACTCAGACTTGTTTGGGGGTGTCTTTGGGGGTGTCCAGGGCCCCCCGGTGAGCCGGGAACGTCTCCCACGGCGAGCTGAGGTCAAACTTGCGGAACTCCTGGCTGAGCTCCAGCGGCTCGGCGACCACTCGCTTGAGCTCATCGTCATAGCGCACCTGGTGGGGGAGCCACACAGAGACACATGGAGACACATAGAGACCCTCAGAGACCCTCAGAGACACTCAGAGACACATAGAGACACATAGAGACACTCAGAGACACATAGAGACACATAGAGACCCTCAGAGACACATAGAGACACATAGAGACACATAGAGACACATAGAGACCCTCAGAGACCCTCAGAGACACTCAGAGACACATAGAGACACATAGAGACACTCAGAGACACATAGAGACCCTCAGAGACCCTCAGAGACACTCAGAGACACATAGAGACACATAGAGACCCTCAGAGACACATGGAGACACATAGAGACCCTCAGAGACCCTCAGAGACACATAGAGACACACAGAGACACATAGAGACCCTCAGAGACACATAGAGACACATAGAGATACATAGAGACCCTCAGAGACACACAGAGACACATAGAGACACATAGAGACACATAGAGACCCATAGAGACACTCAGAGACACATAGAGACCCTCAGAGACACATAGAGACCCATAGAGACACACAGAGACCCATAGAGACACATAGAGACCCTCAGAGACACACAGAGACACATAGAGACACACAGAGACACACAGAGACACATAGAGACACATAGAGACACTCAGAGACACATAGAGACACATAGAGACCCTCGGAGACACATAGAGACACATAGAGACCCTCAGAGACACATAGAGACACATAGAGACACATAGAGACACATGGAGACACAGAGACCCTCAGAGACACATAGAGACACATAGAGACACATAGAGACACTCAGAGACACATAGAGACACATAGAGACCCTCAGAGACACATAGAGACACATAGAGACACATAGAGATCCTCAGAGACACACAGAGACCCTCAGAGACACATAGAGACACATAGAGACCCTCAGAGACACACAGAGACACATAGAGACACACAGAGACACACAGAGACACATAGAGACACATAGAGACACATAGAGACCCTCAGAGACACAGAGAGACACATAGAGACACATAGAGACCCTCAGAGACACATAGAGACACATAGAGACACATAGAGACACTCAGAGACAAATAGAGACACATAGAGACACATAGAGACCCTCAGAGACACAGAGAGACACATAGAGACACATAGAGACCCTCAGAGACACATAGAGACACATAGAGACCCTCACAGACACATAGAGACACATAGAGACACATAGAGACACATAGAGACCCTCAGAGACACATAGAGACACATAGAGACCCTCAGAGACACAGAGAGACACATAGAGACACATAGAGACCCTCAGAGACACATAGAGACACATAGAGACCCTCAGAGACACATAGAGACACATAGAGACCCTCAGAGACACAGAGAGACACATAGAGACCCTCAGAGACACATAGAGACACATAGAGACCCTCAGAGACACAGAGACACATAGAGACACATAGAGACACTCAGAGACACATAGAGACCCTCAGAGACACATAGAGACACATAGAGACACATAGAGACCCTCAGAGACACATAGAGACACATAGAGACCCTCAGAGACACACAGAGACACATAGAGACACATAGAGACACTCAGAGACACAGAGACACATAGAGACACATAGAGACACTCAGAGACACATAGAGACCCTCAGAGACACATAGAGACACATAGAGACACATAGAGACCCTCAGAGACACATAGAGACACATAGAGACCCTCAGAGACACATAGAGACACACAGAGACACATAGAGACCCTCAGAGACACATAGAGACCCTCAGAGACACATAGAGACACATAGAGACCCTCAGAGACACATAGAGACACATAGAGACCCTCAGAGACACATAGAGACACATAGAGACCCTCAGAGACACATAGAGATACACAGAGACCCACAGAGACACATAGAGACACATAGAGACCCATAGAGACACATAGAGACACATAGAGACCCTCAGAGACACACAGAGACACACAGAGACACATAGAGACACATAGAGATACTCAGAGACACATAGAGACCCTCAGAGACACATAGAAACCCTCAGACACACATAGAGACACATAGAGACACATAGAGACACTCAGAGACACATAGAGACACACAGAGACACATAGAGACACATAGAGACACTCAGAGACACATAGAGACACATAGAGACACATAGAGACACTCAGAGACACATAGAAACCCTCAGAGACACATAGAGACACATAGAGACCCACAGACACACAGAGACACATAGAGACCCTCAGAGACACATAGAGACACATAGAGACACATAGAGACCCTCAGAGACGCACAGAGACACACAGAGACACATGGAGACACATAGAGACCCTCAGAGACACATAGAGACCCTCAGAGACACATAGAGACACATAGAGACACATAGAGACCCTCAGAGACACAGAAACACATAGAGACACATAGAGACACATAGAGACCCACAGAGACACATAGAGACACATAGAGACACATAGAGACCCTCAGAGACACACAGAGACACATAGAGACACATAGAGACCCTCAGAGACACACAGAGACACATAGAGACACATAGAGACACATAGAGACCCTCAGAGACACATAGAGACACACAGAGACACATAGAGACCCTCAGAGACACATAGAGACACATAGAGATACTCAGAGACACATAGAGACACACAGAGACACATAGAGACACTCAGAGACACATAGAGACCCTCAGAGACACATAGAGACACATAGAGACACATAGAGACCCTCAGACTCAGCACATAGAGACCCTCAGACTCAACACATGGAGACACATAGAGACACATAGAGACCCATAGAGACACTCAGAGACACATTGAGACACATAGAGACCCTCAGAGACACATAGAGACACATAGACACACAGAGACACATAGAGACCCTCAGAGACACATAGAGACACATAGACACACAGAGACACATAGAGACCCTCAGAGACACATAGAGACACATAGAGACACATAGAGACCCTCAGAGACACATAGAGACACATAGAGACACATAGAGACACTCAGAGACACATAGAGACACACAGAGACACATAGAGACACATAGAGACACATAGAGACCCTCAGAGACACATAGAGACACATAGAGACACATAGAGACCCTCAGAGACACATAGAGACACATAGAGACACATAGAGACACTCAGAGACACATAGAGACACACAGAGACACATAGAGACACATAGAGACCCTCAGAGACACATAGAGACACATAGAGACACATAGAGACACACAGAGACACATGGAGACACATAGAGACACATAGAGACACATGGAGACACATAGAGACACATAGAGACACTCAGAGACACATAGAGACACACAGAGACACATAGAGACACATAGAGACACATAGAGACCCTCAGAGACACATAGAGACACATAGAGACACATAGAGACACTCAGAGACACATAGAGACACATAGAGACACACAGAGACACATGGAGACACATAGAGACACATAGAGACACATAGAGACACACAGAGACACATAGAGACACATAGAGACACATAGAGACCCTCAGAGACACATAGAGACCCTCAGAGACACATGGAGACACACAGAGACACACAGAGACACATAGAGACACATAGAGACACATAGAGATACACAGAGACACATAGAGACACATAGAGACACATAGAGACCCTCAGAGACACATAGAGACACACAGAGACACATAGAGACACTCAGAGACCAATAGAGACCCTCAGAGACACATAGAGACACATAGAGACACACAGAGACACATAGAGACCCTCAGAGACACATAGAGACACATAGAGACCCTCAGAGACACATAGAGACACTCAGAGACACATAGAGACACATAGAGACCCTCAGAGACACATAGAGACACATAGAGACACATAGAGACCCTCAGAGACACATAGAGACCCTCAGAGACACATAGAGACACATAGAGATACATAGAGACACACAGAGACACATAGAGATACATAGAGACCCATAGAGACACTCAGAGACACATAGAGATACATAGAGACACACAGAGACACATAGAGACACATAGAGACACATAGAGATACATAGAGACACACAGAGACACTCAGAGACACATAGAGACACATAGAGACACATAGAGATACATAGAGACACACAGAGACACTCAGAGACACATAGAGACACATAGAGACACATAGAGACCCACAGACACACAGAGACAAATGGAGACACATAGAGACCCATAGAGACACTCAGAGACACATAGAGACACATAGAGACACATAGAGACCCATAGAGACACTCAGAGACACATAGAGATACATAGAGACACACAGAGACACTCAGAGACACATAGAGACACATAGAGACACATAGAGACCCACAGACACACAGAGACACATGGAGACACATAGAGACCCTCAGAGACACATAGAGACCCTCAGAGACACATAGAGACACATAGAGATACTCAGAGACACATAGAGACACACAGAGACACATAGAGACACTCAGAGACACATAGAGACCCTCAGAGACACATAGAGACACATAGAGATACTCAGAGACACATAGAGACACACAGAGACACATAGAGACACTCAGAGACACATAGAGACCCTCAGAGACACATAGAGACACATAGAGACACATAGAGACCCTCAGACTCAGCACATAGAGATCCTCAGACTCAACACATGGAGACACATAGAGACACATAGAGACCCATAGAGACACTCAGAGACACATTGAGACACATAGAGACCCTCAGAGACACATAGAGACACATAGACACACAGAGACACATAGAGACCCTCAGAGACACATAGAGACACATAGACACACAGAGACACATAGAGACCCTCAGAGACACATAGAGACACATAGAGACACATAGAGACCCTCAGAGACACATAGAGACACATAGAGACACATAGAGACACATAGAGACACTCAGAGACACATAGAGACACACAGAGACACATAGAGACACATAGAGACACATAG